GACGCAGCAGGGCTTGCTGGCTATGGCTCTGTCGAGTGTGGTTAGATGAGCAGAAGGAATTATCGCAACTTCCATGGCTGATTCCTTCGCGCGGAGAGAAAAAGAGAGTGGAAATTATATGCTTCTTGGAGTTGGAATCAAGGTGTATAACTGGAAAGCAAACATGGAGTTGATCGAACTTGCGGAGAAGAAAATTTGAAGCCGAAAAGTTTGAAAGCTTTTTCAGCCATTAATGGAAGCAACGGGATAACGTCTACGCGGGAACGAAGATGAAATGGGAAATTACCCTAATATTTTAGTCCAAATATTTTCCCCAATTTAGTCCATATTGTTTAAATAAATTAATTTTTTTTGAAAGGTTAAATAAATAAATTTAATCCTTATATATTTGTTAACATTTTCAATTAAACTAGCTGAAAATAAATTTAAGTTTAAATAATAAATTTGGTCTCGGACAAGTTGAATTTGGTCTATATGATTTTAAAAATTTCTATTTAGTTCCTATAGTTTGAGCTTAGTTTCAATTTATTCCCTATGATTTTAAAAGTTTCAATTTGGTCTCTAAGCTTTACAAATCGTCATTGTTATTGTGCGTAAAGTTTAGATTATATATATATAGGTATAAGTGTATCGAGGTTTAGGGCTATGCAGAAAAAGAAAAAAAAATATTTTTTTAATTTCATAAAACACAATCCAAATTTAAATAAAACTCATATTTAAATGTGATTAAATCACACTGTACCATATTTGTAAAAAATAATAAATAAAAAATTTATGACATTTCTAAAAATACATATTAAATTTCATTTCACTAATTAATTTACAGAGAATTTTTTCTACTTGTTTGGTGCTTTTACTGTTCTGAATAAATGGTCTCTCAAAAAAAAAAAAAAAGAACTACTGCTTGGAATGGTGAAAGACTGAAAGTAGCCTTTGTAAAATTACATTGAGGCAACCAAGTTCTGATCCTTCAATCAACATCTTCAAAGGGCATAATGGTAATATCATCAAATCAAACTATGGACTAAGAATTTCTGTTAAATACAATTAGAAAATAGTTTATTTCATAAATAAATACATATGCTTCTTCTATTAGTTTGTATCTGTGTCAGCATCTATAAAGCTTTCATCAAAGGGCATAGTGGTAATTTCATCAAAGGGCATAACGGTAATTTCAACGAAGGGCATGGTTGTAATCATGGAAGTGGAAGTTTTTGTAAATGTAGTGAGACAGCCACCTTGAAGCAGCAAAGCAGAGAATAGCCATAGCCACCATCACATTTCTAGCAGCTGCTGATACCAAACTCTGCTTTGTTGATGCAAAAATTCCAAGTGAAGCAATGGAGATGACCTGCAACACAACTTCTAGTGCATTCAGACCCTTGCATGCCACCCTACAACTGCTGCAGTTCACCACATGAGACCAGTACCTGAAACAGTCCCCCGCTTCCGACTTTCAGTTTTGTTCGGGCATGACAAATATATGAACATGAAATACAAAACAGAGTGCAAAAACATGACAGGAAAGGAGGTTATTTGCAGAACTTTTGATGGTAGTGAAACTTAGACGATAGAAAATGCAGGTGGGGATCTTGATCACATCCTTTCGAGGTGCTAGTTTACTCAGTCGTTATGGGGGCAGTTTTGCGAGTCTTTTGTAGTCTCCAAGGCGAGAAATTGAGATTACAGAGGGATAGTGGAGGAGGTTTTGATGTACCCCTTTCAGGAGCATGGCAAAATTCTTGGCAGACATGTTTTTTCGCCATTTTGTGGGGTATAGGATAGAGAGAAACCATAGAGTTTTTAGAGGATTAGAGAAGTTTTGAGAGGCTACTTGGGAGTTTCGTAATAACGTTCAGGTGTTTTTTTTAGATTGGAGCTCCTTTTCGTAGGTTTAGACTTCCTCTTGTTGGACTTGTTTTTTGTAGGCCCTTGTGTATTCTTTCATTTGTCTTAATGAAAGCTCCATTTCTTAAAAGCTTAGATAATATAAAATGGGCGTCAAGGATATGTTTGTCTCTGGCATTGGAGCGGAAAGAAATCCGTGTCAAACCGCATTCAACAAGTCACAGAGACTTTTGCGAAGCACTACTCTTTGGATCAACTAAACTGATGAGACAAATTCATTTGAAAATAAAAAACTCGTAGGATATTAGATCTAAGGTAGGTGAATTGTGACCGCCATGATCTGGACTATGGTCTCAAAGATATCGGAGTTTATAGTTTATGAATTGAATTGAATGAGCTGCGAAAGAGTTACCTGTCCATCAGCTGTTCCTTTGGAGGCGATGGGGGAAGACTGCCACTGAACTTGCCTCTCCAATCAACATGACCATCTGAATATTTGTTCAACCACCTTCTGAAAGCAACCACTATGGCGTCGGACTTTGTTGGCACGAAACAAGCTTTCTGCCAATTTAAAGGGCCGATATCCAATATCTTCCTCTCCTGTAAATGTGCTCAAAATAATTATATGAATACGAATTCATAAAAGTTCATCCAAGAGAAGAGAGCTCTTTAATGGTGATGGTGAAGTTCTTCCAACAGCGAAACAGACATGTAAAATGGTGAAAACAGTAAAACAATAGAAAACAGTAAGATTGAAGCTCGTTTCAAAACAAATTTTTCTTCTCCAACTGCACTAATGTTGTTAATAAGCTTTTTTCATAATATTCCTATTGAAGTTCATTTCATAATATAATGAGGGTAATTCCCTAAACTTTCTAACCATCCAGTACTTTCAAATATTATCAGCAAGTCCAACACTACCGAACATTACTGGAGGAATAACTCAGCCATAGTAAAAGTTTGATCTATACTTCGAAAAACTTAGGCAATGTGCTGAAAATATGATAGTCATTACCTCCACATGGAGAAGATACAAATCCGAATCTAAAATGAGGTTTTGTCCCACATGGAACATCCATCTCGGAATAATTCGGTCCATCCATACAGCAAAGTTTCTTGGAAATACAAATATTACTCTGCTTTTACCCGGACTAACGGGAATACACATAAATATTAGCATCCCTTTCTTTTGTGATGTGTTTGGAGTCACCTGATACAACCAAAGAAGAAACATAAGTAATACCAAAGAGTGGAGAGAAATAAAAAGCAAAGGCTCACCCTTATTATTAATACTCACCCTAAAAGAAGGAAGGATCCGGATAATGCTAAAGAGTAACACACTTTTCATCACCAAAAATGTGTGCAATAAATGAAAAATACTCAGGTACTCACAGATCAACACCCATGCTAACCACCATTAAAGTCCCGACGAGTAGGAAAGAGAAATGCAGAAAAAGAAATACTTTTTTTTTAAAAAAAAAAACTAAAAAGTTGTTTAACTTTTATTGATGTTGATCGATAAGCACCTAAGTATCGCTCTTTTTAGATTTCTTACCGTATTGTTTTCAGCTGACAAGAGTGTTCCATTGTCTTGGAGTTTTGGATTTTTTTCCTTAGAAATTGGACCAAGACTAAAAGAAGAGTAATACAAACAAGGTGCAAAAAACTTGCTACTTCCCAGTGTCTGATTACTGATGAAGCCATATATATCTAAGTCTCTCACAACAATTTCAATTGGTTTGCCTCCTTCTCGATCTGCTTTCTCAGTGAAGTCCATGGATATTAGCCATTAGATCCCATTAGAGATTGAGAAAAAAAAACATATTAAAGAGTTTTTTTCCACCCTAAAATACTTATCTGTTCTTCGGCTGTTGCGTTCCCATTATCCCATAATGGGCATACGGGACATGTGCTGGGTCCATAAGATTCTCAATCAAAACTTCATACCTGAAAGTGCATAAAGAAAGAACATAGAGTAATTGAGTAAATAAATAAAAATAGAAATGGATAAAGAATTGTGGGTTCCTAGGTTACTTCTTAAACAGAGAGGTCCTCTCTATGCACTGGAGCTCCTCCTTTCATTTCATCAATGTTATTGTTAACTTGTACAGTTCACCCTCTTTGGCTCTACCCATGAATTAACTAGTAATCGGTCTTTCACAACGAGATCCACCTATACAGTAACGGTATTTAATTATGAAGATTAGTTAAGTAGCTGACTCTCTTAAACCATTCTTGGAAGAATAAGGTCATAATCTTTCTGTTAAATAGGATTTCCTCTGCTTACATCAATTTTCTTTCAGTGGGGGAAAAAAAGCACAGTTTTACCACGCCACTTAGATCCACACATTTCCACACCAAGTTCGTCCACATACGACATGACTTCCTTCATAACTCCTCTACACTGGACTGACCAAGATAAAATAAAATACATAAAATTAAAAGTGACAATTTGTCTCTCTTTATACCCATATGGAAGATCTCTGTTACACATTGACTTGGTATATGACGGGTCGTCCAGTTCAGGGATATAAGGGGGTTTTTTCTTCACCAAAATATCTTTGTACTGGGGATCACTATTTGGCCAAAACCACAATATGTCATTCTGCACAATGCTAGGATAAACTGCTACACATGCCCTTTTAGATGTGTGAACCTGCAATATATCACAGGAGGAAAAGTAGCAAATCTTGTCCAAATATTTAGAAGTTGGCTAATATAACCACAATACTTAATCCTGTAACCATATTAAACTATGATCTATCTTGGTAACTTCTGAATATACGTCTTCAGATTCTGGACACTGCTCACTAATAGAATAATATGCAATAATGACAGAAATAGAAAGAAAAATCCAATTCTGAATCCAAGTTAAAACACCAGGAAGAATCTTGAGAAAAAAAAAAAAGAGATTACTAATCAAAATACGCCAACAGCTTAGAATTTTAGTCCTTGTAAACTCATAAACAAGTCTAAGTTCCTTATGCATACAACTTTCAGCATTGAAGAAAACTAGTGCTTGATTACAGTAATATCGATTAAGAAACGAATCCATTGAGCTCCATTATTCTTATAGTTTGTCATTTATAGAAATGATGATTCTTAATAAGCATTGTTTCTCCAAAGTTTGACGGAACTAAATTATCATAGGACAAAAAGCAATGAGATGACAAGATTCACTAATACAGATTTCAGTTAGATTAAATTATAAATTTAATGTTGTGTCCAACTTTAAAAAGTTTCTTGAACTTTGAAATGTTTGATCCTAGGTAATCTCTATCATTAACACCTTTAACTAAATGATGACGTGACAAAGTTTTATTGAACAAAATAAAGCGACATGTACAACATAATATTTTCTTCAAGCTTGAAGACCATGTCGCTCAATTTTGTTCAATTGTACATTTTCTTCTGTCATTTATTTATTAAATAATGTCAAGCCAACTAAAGCTTGTCCAATATTCATGTCAAATCACCATTTAGCTTGGAATGTTAATAGCAGGGACTCAACAGAATCCCAATTCAAATTCAAATAAGTACAAGTTTAAATAGAAACAACCACAATTTCCTAGACTAAATCTGTGATTCAAGCTAAATAGTAAAGAACACATGGGAAAGAAGGAAGAGTCTTTACCGGAGGACGTGATGACGTGACAAAGTTTTATTGAACAAAATAAAGCGACATGTACAACATAATATTTTCTTCAAGCTTGAAGACCATGTCGCTCAATTTTGTTCAATTGTACATTTTCTTCTGTCATTTATTTATTAAATAATGTCAAGCCAACTAAAGCTTGTCCAATATTCATGTCAAATCACCATTTAGCTTGGAATGTTAATAGCAGGGACTCAACAGAATCCCAATTCAAATTCAAATAAGTACAAGTTTAAATAGAAACAACCACAATTTCCTAGACTAAATCTGTGATTCAAGCTAAATAGTAAAGAACACATGGGAAAGAAGGAAGAGTCTTTACCGGAGGACCATCGGGGGGCGCCTGAGGGATAAATTTGCAACCACCGGAGCCATTAAAACACCAGCCATGATAAACACATTGCAATCTACCCCATTGATCGATCCTTCCTTCAGACAACGGAGCCAACCTGTGGGGACACGCATCATCAAACACCTTCCAGGCACTCTCATTCCGATCCCACCACACCACCACATCGATCCCCATTACCTTTTTCCCATGCGGCACCCTCTTGTCGAGGTCACAAATCGGCATAACCGGGTACCACTGCGCATACCAATCGAATCTCTCCTCTCGCCGTTCGCTCTCGGGCTCTACCTCTAACGGATTCGCAGATTCCGTTGAAATGGTGGGCGATGAGTTTGCACAGAGCTTGAATCTTCGACTGTGTCTGTGAATCGTTAAAGAAGATGTTGAAGGTAAGAGATGAACCTGAAAACATTGATTCCGAAATCGGTATTTGTTCACTTTGGCAGTGGAGTGGAGTGGAGCAGAAGAGAATTTCAGAACTTCCATGGCCGCAGCTTTGACTTGCATGGATTTCTCGAAAGAACGCAAGTGAAGTAGATTTGAAAAACTTTGTGGCCATGAATTGTCCAGCAATTTAATCTCGTCAGGAAACACAGGATAGTTAATTCGCAGGTGACGATTACGTAAATTGAACTTGTTTTCTCTCGATTTTTCCTTGGTCCGACTCTATACCCAAGTAATGAATCACTCGTGATAGTTAGAGAAATCAAATTGTTACCACTTAAAGTATAAAGATTAAATTTTTATAGTTCGAAGTTAATAAATTAAATTGTACTTTAATGAGAACATAATAATCAAAAGAATCTTTTAATCAAAATATTTAAATTAATAAATAAACCCTTCGAATTAGTTAAATTTTTTTTATTAATATTATGTCCACGTTAGTAATATTTTATTCATATTTTTATATACTTTTTCGATTTCGTTTGTGATATTATAAAAATATTGATTCACTCAGGTTGAACGTGAACCTATAAAAATGTAAATGTATCGACCTAAGTTTGATACAATATTTTTAAAAAGTTGTTTACTTTATATTTATGAATAACAAATGCTTTGGAACAAAGTTTCTAATAACGTCCAATGAGAGCATAAAATTCACTCGGATAAGCAGTATTAATGAACCAACAAAACAATTGTTTTTAGTATAATACGTTGGGAATTTGAATTTATAATTTTTTGATTGGAGATATATGTCAATTACCGTTGAGCTATGCTCGCTTTGGCTCGAAGTTTATGGTAATCAAACGTATATATTTGGTCCTGTTATCATCATTTTACGATAAGGAATAATGTTTGAGCTAAATTGTTATGTAAATGTAAACATTAACTGATGATCTGACCAAAAATTAAATACAAACAATTAATATCAATTAAGTGGTTATAAATAATTAGTTAATAATTTAATTTAATTAAATAATTAATGACATTTATTGAAAAATAAATACTTCTAATGTACTTATCTACATGATTTTAAATATCCATCGACATATCGATATGTCCGTATATTTATGGGTTCGACATCAACGTGAGGGTAATTGACATTTCTATAATGTTACAAAAAAAATCGATAAAATATAACAAATATCAACAAAATTTTACTAATATAAACATAATATTAATATTAATCATTTTTAACTTGTTTAGAAAGGGTTAGACAGTTATTTGTTAATTTAAATATTTTTTTTAGTATTTTATTTTTATAATTTTTTCATAAATATCCATCGATATCGACATTTTATTAATATTTACATCGACATTTCTATGAAATTGAGACATTGACATTTCCATCGATATAGACATTTAAAATCTTGCTTACCATGAGTGAGTTAGTTAATATTTAATAGACAATTGATTTCGGTAATTTAATATATCTTACAAATAAAAAATGTATTAATTAGATTGATATCGACTAAAATTAGATCGACGAAGAGGCCAAGTCTCATTGGATAAAGCGCTTCAGTCTACCTAAAAATTAAGTGGTGCATAGATAGGTTTCATTGAGGACTTTACCCAATAAATGATAGTTGACATCCTTTATAGTCGAGACCCATACACCTAACTTTTCAGTATGTGTATACCTACTCTAAATGAGAGCAATTGCCATAATTTTTTTTTTAATAAAAACATTTATACGTTCATAAAAACGTTCTTTAACATAACATGACAATCATAATAACAATTTATTTGACACGATTTCTTCCTATATCTATGAATTTTATTGGACCTAGAAAGTATACATTCGAAGAACGTTTTAACTCTTCCAATATCAATAGGTTGATTGTTTCACTCCTGTATTTTTCAAAAGGAAAAAGGAGTTTTGAAAGCCATTTCCTCGATCGAAAAGAGAGTACATGTTCTCCCAACAAGAAAAAATGTATTATGCCTAACCCTAAGTCGAACAGCTAAGACAAATAACCGATGAATTTATAAAACGTCAGAAATTCCTTGAGCACAAATTTGAAAAAAAATTAGGCAAGATTGAAAACTTATTTTTATTTTTTATTTCCTATTTTTGAAAATTAAACTTTATAAACATTACTTTCAGTATATTTCTTTAATTTGCATTTATTTATTTTTCAAAATCCAAACTACAATTCCAGAACTAAAAAAACAATCATTTTCAAAACCTTGTTTTTATTTTTAAATTTTGGGTAAAAGTTCAAATATATTTTTTAAAAACAAAAAAAA